CGGATTCGAGATTTGGACCGTGACCTGCTTCGCGAGCCCGACTTGTTGCGGAAGTGCTGGATCAAACCAGTCGCGGCAGCAGTGGCAGCTGCAGCCTTGGCAACAGACTTGCTCCGGCTCTTTTTGCGCGCGCTTCGTGATCTGGAAGACGAGTAGCTGCGGTTACGTGTCCTGCTACGTCCGCGACTCGCCTCTTCTTTGTCAATTTTCTGGTTTTGGTAGTACTTAGCAGCACCTGCAATGGCCAGGGCGGCGGCGGCGACGCCTAGGCCCGTCTTGATCTTGGATCGGGAGGATGATCTGCTCCGCGACCGATAACGGTCATCATATCGTCGATCATCGTACCGACGGTCGTCATATCGCGGGTCGTCGTATCGTGGGTCATATCTGTCTTCATGACGATGGCGAGAGCGGGATCGATTGTCGCCATATCGCTCATCATACGCGCTGCGTGCTCGTTTGAAGACTTCGGTGCCAAGACCTCCCAGAGCGGCGCCCGCCAGGACCTTGCGACCACGGTTCGGGGCGATCTCGCCGTGATCGTCGCGTCGACTAGCCAAGAGGGCAGCGACTCCAGCACCAGCCAAGGCGCCTCCTGCGAGATGGCGGCGGTGAGTGTCTGGGCTCGGTGAGCGCTCCTTGATAATGGTTTTCCTCCTGACCCAGTACTCCTCGTCGCCGCTCCCGTAGCCCCTGTCATATTCACGATCGCGGTGGTCCCGTCGTTCCAAAGCGTACTCTCGCTCGTCGCGACGGTAGGGGCCAAGGTCTCTGGTCTCACGACGATAGTAGTACTCGTCATCGCGAGGTTCCCGGCGGGCTATTTCACGCGGTTGCTCCCGCTCACGGACCACCATGACGCCGGGGTTCTCGCGTTGTTGCAGGATGACAGGCGCAGGCGGTGCCGCCTCTTGAACGATAATTTTCTGCGGCTCGGGTGCGGGGCGCTGAATGACAACAGGTGCCTGCGGAACAGGTGGCGGGCTCAGAGGGGCGTAGTATTCGGTTTCCTTTCGGTATCTCTCGATCTCAGGGCCGCCGTGACCTGTGTGGTCTTCACGGCGCTCCTCGATGCGTCTTTCGACCTTGATTTCGCCATCATCCCGACGCTCGACGCGCTTGTCAACACGCACCTCCGTCTCTGCGTCCTGGCTATCCCATGGTGCATGGGAACGGCGATCCCAATCACGAGCAGAATGCGGGTCCCTCTCGCGCTCGACCTCGCGCTCCCGTTCATAGACCACTGTCCGGCCATCTCGGAAGCTGTCACGGTCTCTGTCGCGGAACCGATCGAGGTCATCCCGAGGCTCGAATGCAGAGCGGGGTCGATCTGGAGCGTAAGCCCGGTCGCGGTCGGGGTCGGGGGTGTCTAGGGGCAAAAGGGTCGCCAGAGTTTCGGGCAGGGGTAAGAGGGAATAGTGGGAGCGGCGATCATCATCGTCAGCGTCGACGCGAACCGACTCTGCTCGGCGTCACCTTTGTACCCGACGAAACGGTGGGGGTTCGGTAGGCATCTTTCGTCGTAAAAAGTCGTCGTCATGGTAGACTTCGAGAACGTTTCCTCGGAGGCCATGGCCCTCAGATTGATCAAAAGCAGTGCGCGTACAGAATGTCAAACGGAAGACTGGCTCTGGGGAAGTATTTCGGTTGTACAGAGGAGGCGCAACCAGGGCGGTTACTTTGGGGCGAAAGCGATAAAGACAAGCAAGGATGAAAGATGCAACAACGCTGGCGTATGGAAGGAGTCGAGGAGAGGAGGGGATTTCAGGATGGCTGGGGAGTCATCCTCCTGTCAGAGAGATGCGGCAATGGCTCGACTGTTGGGCTTACTGTACAACACCTGAGCCGGGGAGGGGGGATGCCATGGGGGCCAGGACAGAGGAGGGGGGCCATGGAGGATTCCATTGGACAGGGGGGGCGCGTGTCTTGCTTGTGTCCCGGGCGCATCGGGCTGGGAAGCAGCGGCCGCTGACGACACCGTCCCTCCCTCCCCTTGCCCGTTGCCCCTTCCCCCCCTTTGCGTGCCCTGCCCAAGCCTAGCTCTGGTCTTTCCAGCCTTCTAGCTTGACTTCTTCGGTGAGTGGCCCAACGTCGCTGGAGGGTTCTTCCTTGTTCTGCCCCCTTGACAAAGCTTGGTCTGCTGAACCATGCGATGCCCTGTTGGGCTCGGAATAGTGGAAGATTCACCACACGCAGCCGCCCGAGCCACATAACAAACCACTGGTGGTATTTTGGGGTGACCAGGCTGGCTCGTCGAGCTCGTTGATTTACCTACCATGGAGCCGTCCGACGTGCATATGGTGGGCCGCCGGCACCGCTGAGAGGCCTGCGCCTGGCTGCGAATGACCCCGCCGCTGCGCACTACCGTCCCACGGGACCACGCGAGAAGGCTCGCAAGGTGGTGGATAGCACCTGATGATGTGTGATATGTCCCCGCGCCACTTCTTTGTTAACGCGAAGTAGAAGCGGAAGCGAAACCCACTTGAACAATGCTTTCTTCAAAATGGAGATCGCTGCCGGAGAGCTAGGCCGCCGGCGTAGCTACTTACAAGTGCGGGAGCAAGACTGATGCCCAAGCACCCCGCTTCCAAGTTAGTACGTCATATGTCCACCATTCCAGGCAACCAACTTTCAGTTGCGCTGAGGTAATCAGGCTATTCGTTTTCCGTAGACCCCTGTCAGGGCCGAGAAACTGGGAGGACGAGTAAATGCTTTGCCTCCCCTGGCTTCGTCGATTGCCGATTTTCCTCGCATGGCCGCACGATGGCGCGGGCGAGACCACGTTTCAACGTCTATGTAAACATTCTTGACCATCCCTGTAGCGATTCCAGGCTTTTCGCCCCAAGTCCCCTGGCATGACAGATCAAGAGTGGCTCTTCTAGAGTATGTCAAGCTGTACTCCAATCCTACGAGAGGAGCTCATGCAATTACAGGGCAGTCACAACGGATCATTCAGATGGACAATTGATCAAATCTTATTTGGCTACGTATAGATCTACTGAAACACCCCACTTGCTCTACCACTTGCTCTACCAGTGCCTCTCGACACTTGTCGAAGGCTTCAGCGCTCCCAACACGACAAGATACCATGGACTTATACCCCGTGCCTGACACGGCCAGCTCTGGTCGCGAACCAGATGTCCGCTTCCGCCCTTCATCTAGTCAATGTTTCTGTTACGCGTGTCAGCCAAAGTCTTCCAGCATTCTCTCGATGAAAGCTAGTGTGAAGGTGACATTTCAGGATTTTCAGTGTGATATGGAAGATAATCATAAATAGATTTCATAGACTGTGTAACATATTTGTCTCATCAGGTGACACGGGGAATGATATGGAAGATAGGGAAGGTTGAAACATACCATTTTTTTTTTTGGAAAGCCGACTCGAGGCGTAGGTCATGTCCATGAGATAATAAACTCAGTCTGCGCAGTCGAGTCGGCTATTCGTGATGAACTCAGTCCAAGATGATCACACGCTCGTGAGACACGCGGGCTTTCAGCAGCGTTGCGCGTCTTGCTCTGCTCTGCCATTGGTAAGGAAGACAAGCAGGCTGTGGGCGAAGGAAGAAGTTTTAGGGACGGAACGTGCAAGTTCAGAAAACTTTTGTAGCTGTGGATCGTGGCTGGTGCGTTAGTAAGCAGAGGCGTGCCGCTTCTGATCAAGGTGGCCAAAGCGCGAGCCTGGGCAGTCTGCTGCAGGCAACACAATCGGATATAGAAGACATGACTTCCAGAGAAAGCGTAAGGATCGAGACCGCCAAGCTCGGATGCAGACCGCGAGGTTTTGTCTACATTTTTTTTGCTTATTGGCAAAAAATCAACCTGTTCCCAACGTGGATTCACAGCTTTGGTCAACTGAAAACGAGATAATCAGGAATCGACATTGGCAATCGTTGTGGAAGCAATCATCAAATGTTCCATAGCGTTCAAATGTCCCTGTCTCTCTGCCCGTAATAGGCTATGTACAATGGGGATTCCAAACCGCAACCGACCCCTTCAAAAAGAGAATAACCCCAGGACAAGTAGGTCATTTCGACGCATATCAATCCTCGCCCCGTCGATGCCGACGATACCTCCAGATGAATTGGCATCCTAATATTCACGTCGCATCTAATTACGACAAGCCATTGATTGCAACCGCGGAGGTATCAGGGAAGACACTGGTGGTACCACTCGTTCAGCACCCGACAAGACGAGCCTGCGACACATCGTGTTGCCCCGCTGTAGTTATTTCCACCACATTGGCCGTAGAGGGTCTGCGTCGGCTGCACAGGAGGCGGCGTGGTGGTTGGAGGCAGTACGGGTGGACTCGTTGTGGATCGGGTAGAGGACGTTGTTGATGTCGTGCGGGCGGAGACCCATGCGGTGACAGTTCGCCAAACGGTTTGGACGTTTGTGACAGTAGATGTCTGTGTTGTCCATTCGGTGACCCAGACAGTGACGATTGGCCTTGAGGTTGTCTGAGCGGTTGCTGCAGCGGCAGCAAGAGCCACAGCGAGATACGTTGTGGCGCGCATGGCGAGCTTTGCTTTGGTTGTTGCTGCTGTTGATGATATGGATTGGAAGCACTTCCCAGCGGCATTGTGATAGCTTCACAAGCAACAAGGATATCATGCCAATAGATATACCGACCATCACAGCTGCCATCAAATTGTGCCCGCACGATCTTAGGCAGAAGACGCCGGATTGACGAGCACTATGGGTGAAGTCCCACCCAAACGAGAATGCGACTATGAGCCAGGATAATGACACTGACCCAGATAGTGACAATGATGTAGGCATCAAATCAGAGGCCAAAGAAACTCCAAGACACTAAATGGAATCTGCCGAAAATCAGTGGGTGGCAGTGTCGCTATTCAATGCCTACATGTTGCCTGTTTGGGAGTCGGAGACGGCGGGCTGTCCGAATCGAGGAGTGCCCAGGCCCAGATTGGTCGGTTGGAGAAACAGCCATCACAACTGGAGCAACGGCTCTTGATTCTGTGGTACAGCCTCCTATGGAAACCATGTTGTTCATAAAAATTGCATTCGTGAAGGAACAAAGGCTTAGCATGTCTAAAATGTGAGTCAACACGTATGACAAGTCCGGCTCATTGTGACGCCAGAGAGTCCAGTCAAGGCTGGATCACGTCCGTACCTGTTGGATCATTGTCTTAACGTTCTTTGTGAATCCGTTAGCCAATACTGACATCAGAAACATACAGAGTTCCTCTCTCAAGACAGAGAGCAGGAAGTATTACTATTGCACACTTTTGCCTTGGCGATTGTTGTGTGAAGCTGCATACCAGATAACAAGAAACGACTCGGAGCAAGCAGGAAACGAGGTTCTTTGAGCTCTTCGAATCCTGGTCCTGATGTAACGCCTACATAGGTGTACTACAAGATCGATAGACCTATTGCTCTCAAGTCGTTGACCACATGGCAGTGCGAACTTCCTTAGAACAGCACCAGGCAGAAACCAGTGGGGAGTGAGGCGTGCATACGTGGTTCTGGAGCAATCCCAGCCGGCTAATCCCAATTCCTGGGCTGAACAGAGCGTGGCGAGCCAGTCATTGACCTCTTGCCCGTTAGGAGGACATGGTTGAGCATGTATCTACCAGACGCCTCATGATGCCACTTGGGCTGATCTCTCTCCGAGCAAGCGCCATACTGCTCAGCAAGTTCCTAAAGTCACGGCACATACTCGAACTGGAACTGGTGCAAAAGGCTTCTGGGCACATTGACTGGGTAGGGAGTGGTGCAATGGCCCTATCATGAGCAGATATGACGGCGTCAAGTCCGCACGTGATGTAAACATCGTGATACAAGGCAAATACTGTGATGGTGTGTAAGGCAAAGACCAAGAGACACCACTACATATCTAAACTTAGTCGGCGCCTCTGATGCTTTGACCTTTCGGCTGACACGCCCAAGGCAGAACCCTTCGGGGGTGGTGATGATCTGTCGTGATGATCCGTCGCTGACGTTGTCAACAGCATCGAACTCCCGAATCAGACGAAGTCTGCGCGCATAGTGTCTTACTCGAGGCAAGAGGGGGTTGGGAGGTTACGTGTAAAATACAGCGCCGAGGAAGTACCTTGACACATCATGGCTTCCGCGTCGGGAGGGCGTTTGACAAAGCGAAATGATGACCTCTTGTGCACACCACAAATAGATGTCGATGCTTGGCTGGTTCACTGGCAGCCTTTTACCACTCGCTTGTCGTCATATATACATGCTCGGCTGTGAGCTGAAGGCACAGGGAGAGGGCGGAGTGTTATCATGCGCCCTATCCGATCACCTAACCCACCATCGATGCATCGCCAACTGACAACGTCTTGCGATTGTGAGATGAAGGACCTCTGCACACGAAAGGCAGGTGGGGTGTCACCGTCGCCCTGAGTTCGCGGACCATGAACTTGAATTGGGCGCAATTCTGCAGGTTGCAGGATACAGGTCCCCATCTCTGCAGCACTGGCGGAACGCTGCTTCAATCGGGCGCTGTGTCGCAACCAACGACGCCCATTATTCCCAAGAAGAAGGATTTGGCGGCAAGCCGCGTGATGGAAGAAACCCAGAGACCGGCCCATGATGAGGCGAATTCTTCTGAAGGGCGTGATTGGCAAGGTAAGTGACGCCGTTCGCCTCACTTTACCGTTGACTGCAGCAGCGTGCAGTCTCAACAGGAGTAGGCGTCGGGGCAGGGTCCACATCTGGTCAACTCTGTGTGGATATGCTTTCTTCGATGCAGGCCAGAAGTCCATGCACCCATGAACACCACAGGGTCAGGCAGGCGGTGAGACTCGCAGGACCAAATGGAACAAGGCTTCCCACCCCCAATGATATTTGGTGTTGCGCAAAGATGCGTCGTGTGTGCAGCAGCAGCTCAGGCGGCCTAGGATTGTGTCTTCAGGTGGGTGAGTCGTGGGTTGCTCTCGGCGAAGGCAACGCTACGATAAATACCAACTCGCTCGTCCTGTCGTTCGACGTTGTTGAGATAGTGTACGGAATGCTCTGCCCTAAGTTTACACGTCTCTGCAGTGGACCGTATCCTGTTATGTTGACGCCTCGTTTTTACCTTTGGTTTGAGCGTTCGAAATGAATCGATACTGGATTCCCCGGCTGGATATCCACAAAAGCATTATTGTCCAACAACTCCCATACTTCCTGGGCCCAGAAGCAACAGTGCGAGCGTACACTAATGAGGTATGGCGGGCCGTCGAGTCCACAGGTAAAGCATCTCTGACGATTTACCAGGGGGAAGATGGCTTCCTGATCACCACACCAGGCCCGTGCCTGACAGATGTGAGCCTTGATGTTGCTCCGTTCCACTACAGCGGGACACCAAGCCCTTGACTCATGCCGGTCTGCCTGAATAGGAGCAGATTGACGATATCTGCACGAAATCCAGGGACATGTGGGAACGACAAGCTGCCGCCAAGTCACAGGACACCGATAAACCTCTCAAGCGTCCTCTACACCAGCCAGTTGTCATATCCAGGGGTTCTACCGAGCCTCGCGGAGAAGGCAGGATGATCGAAGGCCCTACGAGGGACAACGGAGACACGAGGAGCGTTGGCGATGACGAAAGTCATTTTCGTGGCAGACTCAAATCGTGACCATAACTGCATGACCGATAACGGATACCAGAGGGGCGCAACAACTGGCGCTGATGAAGTGGCTGGCGGTGCCGTAAGCTTGCGAGAAAGGGTAATTGTTGGTGTCCTCGCACTGCGAGGTCAGCACCAATCAATGAGTGATCATTTCCATGTGGAGTTCCAGAGACCAATTTCGTAATCGACAAGCACGCAGCGCAACAAGCAGATGCGATTCTCGATGGGTGCGTGTCAAGAAAATGCAGGAATCCTCGCGAGCAAGTTCGTAACGTGGATCAGGGCCTGTGGGAATTCAGGAGAGACCTCAGCCGAGAATCCTCATTCAGTACCTTATGTAGAGTGATTGCCATATGCATTCACAGCAAACAAAATCCCAGAGTCTGGCTCATCGATCATGGCGTGCTTCTCACGAGTCTGATCGTGGAGACAACGTGCTGGTGTCGTCCTCCATTGCACTCATTCGGTAAAATCCTCCATAAATGCGCCGACATGAGAGAGAAAGCTGAGAGTCGACCACCCAAATGTCATACTACTTCTGTTTTCGAACTGACTGTTTTCGAACTGACTGTTTTCGAACTGACTGTTTTCGAACTGACTGTTTTCGAACTGACTGTTTTCGAACTGATTGGGCAACACGTGGTGATGTTGTGATACGAAGGACTCTTTGAAGTCCATTCTACGCGGGTGACGTATTTCGTACTTAGAGCGGCAGACAGACCAGGAGTCCAGCCCCTTCGAAATGTTGAGGGTCATCAAGAAGCTGAATGATGCAATCAGGCAGCACGTCTTTTGCTGCTTGAAAGCAACTCTTCATATCGTTGAACCTGCATTGGGCCGGCAGACCATAGAAGAAGTGCCTGAACGGATACCTCGTTTCGAGTTGAAGAAGAGGTAGGCTGATGGCCATATTGAGATGCATCCTCGAGGACTTTTGATGTGATGTAACCAATAATGTTGACCCACTCGCCAATTCTCACCTGTTCGCCTGTGAGTGACTCAAGAACAAGCTTGACATCAACGTGCGCGGCAGTGTTGGTGCCTGAAGGGAAGCTATGGCGTAAGACTAGAGTCGCTGTGGCAACCGAGTATGCGGTAACACTGGTTTGGGTCAGAATGAGAATGCTGAGCCTCTGAATTGATTCGAGAGATAGAAAGCAGCGACCGAAGTCATGCCATGAACGCACCACCCTAAAAATCTGACTTTATCGCCAGGAGACTTCACAGACAAGTCTGCGAGCAAACAAATCCGGGAGGGAAGAGGTCCTCTAGACATGTTGGAAGTGTTTGTGATCTCGTTTTTATGGTGGACGACACGGACCAGTCTCTACGAAGAGTGCACATACCGTCTCAAGCCTGTTATTGTGACCCATGTTGGGCACCTGGCGATACCTTCATGGCTTCGGGTGACTGTTAAGGTCTCATGGACGCTGATTCAGCAATCAATCTAACCAATGATGTCAATTGATACCTTATCAGCTGATCCGGTTCGCGGCAGAATTTCGGTATTCACATGCCCCACCTGGTTCCAACAGGCTGCGGCAAAAAGACCAGTCATGCGGACGGCTTGGCTTCCACCTCAGGTTGCATCATACCCGCCCTCAACCGATCAACCTGCACTTATCTTCCGCCCGCCCTCCATTCAGGCAGTCAACTGTCATTCCACGAGCCTCGGAATCAATATCGGATCGAACAACGAAAGTCGAGTCCCGCGACTTGGACTTGCACCCAACCATCCGTCGGACAAGCACTGTCACGGTCTGCACGCTTCCCTTGGCCCCACGATTCCAGCACTGTGGGTCATCTAGCCAACCCCGCCAACAACCGGACAACCTTGGTCATCTCGCGCAGTATCCTGCGCAACTGCATCCTCGCTCTATACAAGCACTAAGTCCTGCCATCATGGCCAGCTGGATGTCCTGGTGGGGTGGTGGCTCCAACCAGAAGCAGAAACAGGCCAAAGTCAAGGAAACGGTACTGGCGATGAAGAGCCATGTTGACATGCTGCAAAAGAAGGAGACGCATCTTCAGCAGCAGATCGATCAACTGGAAGCCGATGCAAAGGCTGTCGTAGGAAAGAACAGGAATGGTAAGAGATAAAGGAACCCGGCGTCGCGTCCTTGAGGCCCAGTCGCTGACCCCATGCCCTTCCGAAACAGAGGCCCTCCGGATATTGAAGCGCAAGAATCTCAAGCAGAAGGAGTACGATCAGACATATGCGGCGAGGATGGCCATGGAAACACAGCAGTCAGCTCTCGATATGGCCAACCTCAACCAGGAGCAGTATCGCCAGACCAAGGCCATCAACGAGGCTATGAAGCAGATCGGAGCAGGCATCTCGGTGGAGAAGGTCGACGATATGATGTATGTGTCCGATCAGTGGAGAGAACACTGCTGGAGGGCTGCGCAACTGACCAACTTGTAGGGAGAGCATTCGCGAGCAGAGTGCTATGAATGACGAGATTTCTCAGGCTATGGCCGCGCCGGCAGGTCAGCTCGAGGACGAGGACCTCGAAGCGGAACTTGAAGCGCTGCAGGAAGCGCAATTGGACGAAGCGATGCTCAACACTGGTTCTGTGCCCGTTTCGGACAAGATCAAAGACCTGCCGTCGGCAGCAAACGGAGAACGTGAGCTTACACCGGAGTGTTTAAAGTATGTTCTGGGCAAACAGCTGACAAAACCGCATAGTCAAGGGCAAGGCTGTACCGCAGGAGTCGGAGGAAGAAGCCGAGCTTCGAAAACTACAGGCCGAGATGGCCATGTGAAGGGTGGGGGCGAGCAGCACGGCGTACCAGGCGCGTCACGTACTACTGATTTCGATACGGCTTTGCGGATGAGCACGCGGTGCAAGCTTGGCAACGTCGATCCGCTTGTGTCTGTGGTAGCATATTGCTCTTGAGTCTGGGCGTCGGCGTTTTGGAATTTTCAGTTGAGCTCAGGAACATGTTGGTTTGCAACGCAACGGAGGCACGGCGGAAGATGATGGAGGAAGCAGTTCATAGTCCCCCTTCGCGTCACTGCTTTTTTCTCAGACGGTCCTACTGGAATGGGAAATGCTAGCACACGACTAATACCATTCGAATCGATCAATGCCGACACCTTCTGATGTGCAAATCGTCCGGCCGTTCAGGGTACCACGTCCCAGCGCTTTGAGTGCCGCGTTCTGGTTCTCGGCTCGACCTGTGGCCCGGTGTGCCTTCACCGCTGCTCTACAGGGTCCCTCCTGGAGGCTCTGAGAGTAGGGATGTTGAGCACGGTTGTAGCATGGATCTTATTGTCTTAGTTCTTCAGCAGAGATGGGTCAACCGCAATTGAAAGAAATGAGGCCGGCTGTGTTAATTATGCGCCAGCGGTGTGATGTCAGACCGAAGGTGAACCTCGGACTCCACCGAACTCCTATCGCTATCAGTTCGCCCACCACGTCTGCTTGAATGCTGTGCCAAAGGGTGAACTCACTGCCCTCGTGGCATCTGACCTGCCTTCGGTACCTAGGTACCCTACTCAGACATCCTCCACCCACCTACCTCCTAGGTATCTGGGTAATTAAAAGCACCTCAGGTATGGCAGCGACCTGAACTGGCGGTTAGGTTAATAGGGAGGTAGGCAGGTACCTAAGGCGGGCGGTAGTCGGTAGTCAGTGATGTACGGGTACCTTAGGCACCTGACACAAAGCAAGGCGAGCAAGGGCAAAGGCGAGGCTGGTCATGTCCTCTGCCACTTCACCAACCCCCACCCGGAACACATCACCACCCAACCATCCAACCACCTAACCATCCAACCACCCATCCAGCAGCCTGATCCCTCCTCTCCCAGCATTTTCGGCCCAATGATGGATCAAGAGAGGGGGCGAAGAGACTGGACACCATGGCTCCGAAACCAAGGTAGCTGGCCGGCGGCATGCCTCCCCAGCCCAAGTCGGGCTCGTGCAGCATAAGGTACAACGAGCATAACAGGTCAACAGAGGTGCCTTGCATTGCAGCGCGCAGCGAGGCCCGACGTGATTCGACCAGATTCATCATATCAGGTCACACCAGGGCTGCCAGCTCGCAACTTTCGCCCAACCCCCTAAGTGTGACATGGCAGCCTCTACAAGCAGCCGGAGTCCTGCGAAGACTTTCATCAGAATCGAGCAAGACCATATTCACCAACCTGAAAATCCGATGGTGGGCGATGACAGGGGGAACGAGACGAACCTTGAAGCCTCACTTCGCCCCTTTCGACCTGCTGGTTCCGATCCTCTTAGCCCGCTCCACCGCGTCTATCACGGCCCGCAGCCGGACTGCTTTTGACAGGCTTGACTCGCCCAATAGCATTTCGCCAGCTCGAATTCATCACAGGCCGTGCTTTCGGAGGCGAGCCACGTTGCACGTCGGTTCCACGGACCACTCATCGACGACATCTTGGAGGCTCGAATCCTTGTCACTTGACCCCACTGATTGTTTCTCCTGCAGAATCGCATCTTGTCCTGTCCGTCGTTTTCTTGCTTCTGGGCCAGTCTCTCGACCCTTGACCGCATGTACCCGCGGTATTTCCCTTGCCCACCATCTCAACATGCAATGGTCTGGCCCTACTCCTGATCGGTCGCTCGCGCTCCATTTTCTGGCCTGACCACCACCACCACAACATGAATGCACTTGTTGCCCCCCCTGCGGCCCAGCCGCTCATCCTCCCGTTGTTCCCTGTCTGCGATCAGAAAACACGCATATGAGGTACACGCACATTGCGGCCCGGAGGACAACGCCCACCCATGCATAGCTGGCCCATAATGAGCCCCCGACAAGTCTGCTTGGTGTTGTGTGTGGTATTCTGGTTACCTAGGACATCCCAAGCCACAGTACTGGTCCCTGGCTTGATCCTGGCCCATCAGCAACTGCCTGCTGGTGTTGGTTAATCACGGGCCATTGTTTATTCAGAGTCAAATGCTAGACGTCACTGTCTCTTGCCTTACGGCCTATTGCTGCCGGGAATTCGCGTCGTTGGGCCGCAATACCAGTCAGTCCCGTCCCGTTTCTCAGCAGTGGGATGGTCCCAATCCGCACCAAACATGGCGCCTGCCGTTAAGTCTTTGCACGCAGGTCGGCATCCCGCGCCTGTCCTCTCGACCCTCCCGGTCTAGCATATGCTGCCCCAAACCCCCAATCCGAGGCCGACGTGGCGCCAATGAGCCTCGAGCACGACAGTGGTTCCTGTCCTTGCATGACTGAGTCGCAGGCGGATCCCCTCGTGGAGACGTGGGGTCGTCTGTCTCTGCCACTGTGAGGTACCGTGTACTTTGGGGCATGGGAGGACCTTGCGTACCTTACTCTCAGGTACTCGGCCTCGATAGAGGCCTTGCATGCCCCATATGGTGATAATGCTTGTGACAATGGAAACTGATCCCTGCCTGGGTATTTTTCGTTTATGTCCCGCCTTGAACCAGCAGTCCCAAACCTCGCTTGTCTGCCTTTCTATGACCTCACATCAGGTTCTGTCTCCCAATTACTCGACTACCACGCAACCGCTGGTCTCATTGTAACGATACGCCATTCTCGCTCTGCTTTGCGGTTCATCGGATACGGCGTCTTCCTGGTTTCGTCATAAGCGTCATTTGTGTGAAGCGAAGCTAAATCCCCGATACCAAACTTCGAGGCCGAGCCTCCTTATTTGCTTGCCTCTCTCCGACCATCGGCCCTGACTCTCTGTGGAAATAGCTTCTTGGAGCAGTCGTTTGGTAGCAGAGCGACTCGTCTACCTCCTCTCGCGCTTTTTTGGGTGAGGCAGAAGAGCAATGGAGCCCCAAGACGAAGTCCAGTACTGCCCCTATAGGACAAGCGCTGGATATGGTGAGGTCAATACAGCGGACTACTCCAACGTACGGTACTATGAGTTTTCGGAATCAGAGAATGATAATCAGCAGAACTGTGAGTCTCCTGCGTTGAAACGGTCATCCTGAAGTATCTCTTACACGTCGCACAGATGAGGACGAAGGGCCTCATGGTCAACGCGCAACACAGCAGCCGCCGCCAACTCTAACGTCTTCCAGTAAAAAGGCAAAGAAGAAGAGCAAGAAAGCGCGTGCTCCTTCACCTCTACCATCTCCGCTTAACGACGCACCAGCGTCTTCCCAGGACATCGTAGATCCAGACGAGGAGTGGGGTTCGCAGCCAAAGTCAAAGAAAAAGGGCAAGAAGACGCAGCAGACATCGGCTTCAGCACTGCCTGTGGAGGAGCCCACGACACCAGAAACAACAACCATTGATGCTGAAGAGGAACCAGTGTCGACGACAAAGTCCAAAAAGAAGAAGGACAAGAAGAAATCGAAGGCGGGAAAGGACAAAGATTCTGACGCTGTCGAGGAGAAAGTTGTCAGCGCGCCTCCAGCAGCTGAAGTGCCTGACGAGCAAGCCGTCGAAGAGGAGATATCCACTCCTAAAACCAAGGCCCAGAAAGCTAAGGACAAGAAAGAAAAGAAAGACAAGAAGAAGGATAAAAAGAAAAGCAAAGGGAAGAATGACGATGCTGAACACGATGGTGACACTGCCGACAAGTCTCTGTCCGCCCCTGCCCCAGAGCCTTCCTCACTACCAGATGCTGAAACAACTTTAGAGGCGGCTGAGCCTTCTGCTTCGACCTCACAGGCTGGAGATGACGGTACAAAGGCTGCTGACGATGAGCCTGCCGCTGTACCGGTAGCTATGGAGGAAGCAGTTGCCGATGCCCCAGTTGTGGACGAAGCCCTATCAAATTCTCCACCAGTCCCTGGGAACGACATGTTAGAGGCTCACAAGGAACTTTCAGTGGAAGAGATAGCCAGCGACGAGGCGACCGCCGCCCCTGAGATGGTTGTTGATGAGAAGGCCGTCTTAGGCGCCTCGGAACCGTCCGCCCATGTGGATGCCGCTGTTAGCGAAGAGCCTGCACCGCTAGCTGAGGCTGCCCTTGCACAGGAACAGGAGCCGTCGCCAGAGGCGCCGATTGTTGAAGAAGCGAAGAACGACGACCCGGCCGCTCTAGTAGATGATCACAGGAGCCCGAAACCATCGGAAGAGCCAGCCGCTTCAGAGTTGATTGCGGAAGTTGCGTCCAACGATTACCCCCCGCCTGCAGCCGAGGCTGGCACTGAACCTAATACCCAGCTTGCTGTCGAGCCTGCCGCCGAGCCCGCTTCAGAACCTATCACTGCGTCCGCGGTCGAGCCAGCTTCTGGATCTGCTGCCGAGCCTGCAGTCGAGCCAGTTTCTGAACCTGCCGACGAACCTCCCGCCGAATCTGCCGAGCCTGCGGTCGAGCCAGTTTCTGAAACTGCTGCCGAACCTGCCGCTGAGCCAGCCCCTGAAGCTGCCGCTGAACCTCCTGCCAAACCTGCTGCCGAACCTGCCGCTGCGTCTGTGGTCGAGCCAGCTTCTGAATCTGTTGCGGAGCCTGCTGTTGAGCTATCTCCTGAACCTGCTGCTGAACCTGCCGCCGAACCTCCCGCCGAATCTGCTACAGAACCTACGGTCGAGCCAGCTCCGGAGCCTGTCGCTGAGCCAGCCGTTGAGCCAGCCCCTGAACCTGCCACTGAGCCTGCAGCCGTACCAGCTGCTGAGCCTGCTGCTGAGCCAGCTGCTGAGCTAGCCGTTGAGCCAGCCCCTCAACCTGTCGCTGAGCCAGCCCCTGAACCTGCCGCTGAGCCTGCAGCCGTACCAGCTTCTGAGCCAGCCGCTGAGCCAGCCGTTGAGCCAGCCCCTCAACCTGTCGCTGAGCCAGCCCCTCAACCTGTCGCTGAGCCAGCCCCTGAACCTGCCGCTGAGCCTGCAGCCGTACCAGCTGTTGAGCCAGCTGTAGATTCAGCTCCCGAATCAACTGCTGAGCCTGCTGCTGAGTCTAACGTTGAGCCTGCGGTCGTACCAGATGCTGAGCCTGCTACTGAACCAGCCTCTGAACCGACTATTGAACCAACTTCTGAGCCAGCTGCTGAGCCAGTAGTCGAGTCGGCTACTGAGCCTGCCGAGCCACCTGCCGAATCCGCTGTCGAACCATCTCCTGAACCTGCTGCGGAACCCGCCACCAATCTTGCTGTTGAGCCAAATGACAAGTCTGTCATCGAGCCAGCTGCTAAACCAGCGTCTGGACCAAATACCGAGCCAGTAGTCGAGTCACCTACTCAGCCCACCGCCGAGTCAACTATTGAAACTGTCGCTGAACCTGCCGTCGAGTCTGCCGATGAGGCAGCCACGGATCCAGCTGTTGGATCTGCTGTTGAGCCCGCACTTGAGGATGTTACCGAGGCAGTTATTAAACCTGCAGAACCTCAAGCCGAAAGCAGTGCAGAACCTGTTGCAGAGTCTACTGATGTTCCTGCAATCGAGTCTTCTACCCAAGAAATCGCCATCGAACCTCCTGTTACATCTCCATCCGATTTAGCATCTGAACCTACCTTTGAGATTACCATCGAGTCTGCCGCTGAAGTGGTTACCGAGTCTTCAAAAGATGCGATTGAACCTACTGCCGTACCTACTGTTGATCCTCTAACAGAGCCCGCCGCTGAATCTACTACTAAGTCCGCCGTCCTGCGAACTTCTCCAGAGACAGCCCCAGAAGCTGCTGCTGAACCAGCTGTTGAGCCCTCTACAGCATGTTCTACAGAGGATACTCCCGAAGCCGTCACTGAAAATACCATCGAGTCTACATCTGAGCCTACACATGAGCCCGCCACGGAGCTTGCCGCCGGAACTCCTGCTGGACCTACTATCGAGTCCTCTGCGGTGCCTGACGATAATCCTACCACTGAAAGCACCGCAAAGGGATCAGATGGCGAAGACACCCTAGAACCCGTAGGAAAACCAGTGGCACCGGATGCCTCGGCTGAGGGAGTTCAGACTGCTTCAAAGCAAACCTCCGCGCCAGAAGATGAAGCCAGCGACGAGTCGGACGCTCCTGAGGCGGATACAAGCTCCCCACCTCTTGCTGACACCTCCTCAGCCGAACCAGCCCTTACTGAGCTCGAAGGTGATGATGATTCGGCGACAGGACCAAATGAAGATGAGCCAATCAAAGACGTACAGCATGCTATAAGCGAGGAAGCCGCAGTCTTGATCAGCGAGGCTACGCCATCAAACGTCAGTTCTCCAACCAAATCTGACGAGACAGCGACCGCTGCCGGTGACGAGCAGTCGACTGAGGCAGCTATTGCTTCTTCTGGCGATGCGATTATCTTCATAAACAAAGTTGACGGCGGAAAGTCCGAAGCTGACGAGAACGAGGCGCCATCACCTGATCTAGGCTTAAGCGCCGATGTTGACGAGCCGGCTCCGTCGCCCTCGGACTCGTGTCAAAAACCTTCTTTGATCGAGGTTCATACAGGTACTTCGTCCGACGGCGCACCAGTTGAAGTCAAGCAAAAGGCAGACGATGGAGAACCGCCACAGGTGTCACCGACAGTACTAGCGTCAGAGCCATTATCCGACGATAACCTTGCTGATGAGGATACTCTTGTACAATCCCCAGATGCGAACATGTCGGATGTTGCTGAAGCTGGCCTATCGGGCCAGCTGACTCAACAACTCGACGAAGGCGTCTTGGACAAAACACTTGAAGTGCCGCTTGAGGTAGCTGAACCAGTGCCAGCTGACAAGGAAGAGCTTGACTTGGGCGCCTCTTCAGCTAAGACTGACACCGATACTGGAGAGGTTCGGGGTACTAGCACAACAAAATCCAACGTGCTGGACGGACTGAACACACAAATTCAAGAGAACCCAGCCGACCAAGAGTCTGCCACAGCTGACGAAACCCAACCCATCGAATTGGCGGATGTCGCTCCAGATGTCTCTTCGCCTGAAGAGTTGAAATTGGAGTTGGACACCTCCGAGAACCCTGCAGCCGTAGTTGTCGAGGCCCCCTTGGCCGACAAAACAAGTCTAACAGACGACACCATATTGTCAAAGGATGTGGGGGACAATAAAATTGTTGAGACACCTGCCGCTTCCCGTAACGAGGTGGAGAAGGACTTCCAGTCGACCGAACAAGGAAACCAGATTGAAGAAATCGCTACCCCCTTGGCTATCGAGTCTCAAGCGCAGGATCTGGTCCCAGCCATGAACAATGACATTTCAGACGAAGACCTGGCGTTGTACGGGATCGCCAGTGACGGCAAGCAGCTGAGCTGCACTGAATCAATACTTGCACAGAACGCAGACACTACGCTGGTAGTCATCTAACCTCCGAATTCACCGAGACTATGGAGGCCGATCTTGAGCCAGAAACCGTTGAGGCGGTCGCCGGGGCAGCAGGAACTTCAGACAGAGGCAACGAGACTTCCAAGTCTGAGGAGACTACATCGGAGCCTCAGTCAGTATCAGTTGCCGCTGCAGGGGTTGCAGCAACAGTTTTTTCGGCAGACGCAGGCGTCACCGCCAATACAACTGCGACTGCCGAAGGCGACTCTGAAAGTCCTCCTCTCTCTGCGACCAATCGAGATGTTCCCGTGGAAGAAAGCCCGAGCTCGGATGCACCGGCGATAGTCGAAGAGGCCGCAAGCACGGAGGCTGAGTCGACTGCCAGCCATGCAGATGCCGCTCCCGAAATTGCGTCTGAGCCTGCTGAGGAAGACCCTGAGCCTTCAGCCTCCGTCCTCGAACCCGGGCCAGTTGATAAGCCGGACGAAGATCCTGACTCTGACACCAAAGCCGAGCTCGGCAAAGGGGAAAAGGCGGCTGATCCCGTCACTCCGGAAAGTTCTGCTCTTGTAGAAGAAAGCGTGCCCCCAGAAACATCATCTGCAGAGGCTACTACCAAGACCACGGAGGTTGACCCGGCAGATGATTCCGAACTTTCGAAAGAAGAAACAACTGCAGTTCAGGACGTAAAGGATTCAATCGAACCTCTTGAGGTTGGTCTCGAACCTATACCTGATATGGCTTACACTGAGCAGCCGGCATCTTCTTCACAAGCAACTGAGCTCGAAAGTTCCTCCGCTGAGACCAAGCCTGAAGTTGAGGACGAAGCGAACGCAACCAAAAAATTCGAACCCAACTCGAAGGTTGTGGGGGAGCCTTTGCCTGATGTTGTCGAGGCGCACGAAACCACCCCCAGCGAGGAACACGGTTCTGAGCTGTCCGAGTGTGAGCTCGAGCTCCCCAACGAAGAAAGCGCAGCAGTTGCAGTCAGTCAGCCTACCGAGGCTGCTGACTCTTCTCAGCCTTCCACTGAGAATACCCAAATTGATATCCCCCGGGGATCCTGAAGTTGCTCTGTCCATTGAGGATGAACCCGAAAAGAGCAAACAATTCGAGGCAGAAACAACTACCCAGGTCCTTGAAGCGGACACCAGCTCTGAAGAGCCTGAAGCTGCAGGTGTCGAACGTGGAGAGCCTGAGGATCCAACGGTCTTGTCCGAGGTCGTTTCCGAAACCCCAGACGCAGCCGACGAACCGAAATCAAAAACATCAATTGGGGAACTGGATGGGAGTGGACTCTCCGAAGAAAGAGCCCCTGAAAGTGTCGAGAAGACCGAGCCTGGACCATCAGAGACAGAAATCACGACAGCTGAGCTCGCAGAAGCTTCCGAAAAGGAACCGCCAACAGAGGCGCCGATTGCTGCTCCATGTCTTGACACGAAAGAGCTGGCAAATGAGCCTACTGCCACAGGAGGTCAAGCTACGTTGCCAGCAGAAGCTTCCGGAGGCGTGGAGCCTGAGAAACCCAGTGATGACCAAACTGAGCCTGAGCTTGCAGAGGCAGCTCCGGCTATTATCGAACAGGGGTCTGAACCTGCTACAATCCACCCAAGTTCCGAGCCAGAGGTCTTGTCCTCCGATGACTCGAAGGCGGCGGATGCCGCTACCATCGACTTGGTTCCAGAGGGCGCACCAACCGAAGTTTCACAGCAAAATAACGGAGCGGAAAGTACGTCAAATGTCATAGCTCAAGAGCCTGAAGTAGATGTTATGGTTGATGCTACCTCTGCAGTTGAGTCACCAGAAGCAGCAGTCGAGGATGAAAAGCCAGCTTCCGAACCCGAGGCACAGACTGCAACCCCTAATGAGTCAGAAGATGTCCAGGCAATTGAGGAAAAGCCGTCCCCTCAGGTGGACAGCTCAGCTCAGCCCAAGGCAGAGGTAGTTGAAGAAGACAGTACCGGGACGCCCAAGGATACTGGGGCCGCAATTCAAGAAGATAGGCCCGCTACTGAGTTCACCGAGGACGCGCCTAAGCCAGGGGTCCCTCCTAAGGAACCGGACAACGGCGAGCCCGTTGACACAGCGTCGGCTCCTGATGACGCAGCCCCTGTAACGGAACCTGAAGTTTCTGCTGTCGTATCGCCCCAGGATACAGAAGAACCGACTGATTCCACTGTGGATGTCGAGCCGCCTGGAGACGCGATTCCCAGTCCGGAAGCGGCCGCGCCCCAAGAAGAATCGTCCAAGGAGCATCAGCTTGGTGAGACTGCGGATCCGACCGATGCAGCACCACCGACCCCACCACCCGAAGTTGATGAAGACAAGAAGGCTGAAGCGGAGGAGAGCAAGGATTCTGTTGGTGCCATCATCGGCAGCGAACAGACAAAGAGTCAACCCAAAACAGGTGAGACCCATCTCCATTTCCTTGATCATGATGCCCCAGATGGAAGCGTGCGAGACTTGGTCGAAGGACCAGCTTCGGGAATCAATGGCGAGGACGTGAGAGATGGGATTGCGCACAATCTCTTAACTCCAGCTGCGGGCGACGTGTCTGGGCCAAGCGTCCCCGAATTGGTAGCGGGTCAAGGGTTGGCGATGATTCCTGCCCTTGACACAGCCGTCGGAGAGAGCCATATTGTCAGTCGAGTCGGCCATGTCGAGACCAATACCCTGGGCAACGAACAGTCAACTCCTGCCATTGCTGCAGCGCCTGAGACGTCAGAGAGTTTGCCAGGCGAATCCGTGGATTTGCCGCAAACCCCAGTCGGGCTGGACATTAGCTCCGAGGCGGACTACAATACGACAGATCTTGCAACAGACGGCCTGAAGGCCGGCACGGATGCAAGTGAAGGGGAAGAGCCCGACATTGTCACGACTACGGTTGATGACGGAGAGCTTGATATCTTGCAGGACGGAGATCAACCTCTCACAGAGTTGAATGTTGCATCAGTCAAAGAACAGCCCTCGGACCAGCTCTTTTCTCAGGATCAAACCTCTATGGGTGCTGGGCCTGATTTTGACGTCTCAACAGAGGCGGCGGCCGAAAAGGTGGCAATATCGACTACCCCGCTATCAGGATCGCCCATCCCCATAACCCATGTAGACAGTATCGCTATTGAAGACAGCGTGGCAAAAGACATCGAGACTGAGCGGGATGCGTCTTCTTCGATGGGCCGGGAATCAGGCCTGCAGCGTAATGGCGTGTCGGCCACGGAAATCTTCCCATTTGAGGAGCCAGCGCCGAAGTTCGCAGTTCTCGCGGAAGAGAACGATCACGTCCATAACGATGATACCGAGTCTGTCGAAAAGCCCTCTATCTCATTTCGCGCATCCTCCGACAAGTTGACCCAAACTCTATTTGACCAACCAATGTCAGTGTCAGGCGAGAGCTTCAAGAGGCAGAACGCCGACGAGGTTGTTGACGTAACGATTTCAGCCTTGAAGTTACCCGCTGAGCCTGGAAACTGCCACACGTTATGGTCACCAGGCAAACCTGACAATCTCGTTCTTTTCGACGAGGACACTCAGACGGATGAGTCCTTCTTGAAGTCTCAACTACGCTCTCTTACACCCCGGCTGGACGCACTCTCACGAGCGGCAACGCCTGCCATTGTCTTGCCG